TTGGGAATCAGCCCAGGCTTCCTGACATAATTTCCTGCCTAACAGAAAGCAGCAAACTACAGACTCGGTTCGGCTCGGAGACACAGATCTGATTGGTTCACTACAACAGAGTCACGGCACATACATATACCAGCACTGGCTGGCTGCCATATTCTGCACCCCTGATACAATAGGTTTCACTGGCTGCCTGCCATATTCTGCACCCCTGATACAATAGGTTTCACTGGCTGCCTGCCATATTCTGCACCCCTGATACAATCTGTTTCACTTGCTGGCTGCCATATTCTGCACCCCTGATACAATAGGTTTCACTGGCTGGCTGCCATATTCTGCACCCCTGATACAATCTGTTTCACTGGCTGCCTGCCATATACCGCACCACTTGATACAATCTGTGCCACTGGCTGCCTGCCATATTCTGCACCCCTGATACAATCCGTGCCACTGGCTGCCTGCCATATACTGCACCACTTGATATAATCTGTGCCACTGGCTGGCTGCCATATACTGCACCCCTGATACAATATGTGCCACTGGCTGCCTTCCTCCATACATACATAGCTACACAGCTGAATTAATAAAACTTGTTGTGTCCCAAATGTCACTGCATTCCCTTTTTAGTGCATACAACCTTTTCCCCCATAGGGCTCTGGTCAAAAGTAGAGACTAGGCTGCCATTTGGGAGTAAACCAAGCTTGAGATTGTAGATTATTCTGCTAGGAGCCAAGCAACATCTCTGTACAGATAAAGCTAACGTAGTCTATGTATGGCTGGGTGTATAAGTGTCGCCGGCGGCAACTGTCAATCATCGCTGTCATTTAGTTGAATGAAGCTCTTTTTGAGATCAAGGCTGTTTTGTTTTATCACTGAGGCATGATAAAAGTCCCCTATCACTGCATCAAAACACACAGGATGGAAAGATACTAGTCCAGCTATATGACACAACTTGGTTCTCACACTAGGACGCACACACACACACACACACACACACACAGGTATGCACATGCACACACACACACATGTCACCACTCTGCACGGCTCCAGGATCTATTCTATTACAATGAAATGCTCCAGTGAGTTTCCCCAAAAATGGGGGACCCCCCCCCCAAACCCCCCCCAAAAAAAAAAAAGGGGGGGGGGGGGGAAAAATTGTTTATTTATTAAGGCTAAACTGGGTTTGGTTGGGTTTGGGTTTTAAAATTTGGCAAAAACTCCAAAGGGGGTTTTTTTTTAAACCCCCCAAAAAAAGGAAGACTAAAATTTAAAAACAAATGGAAAAATGGTGTAAAACAATGTTTTAAAAAAAAAATATTTTTTATTTCGACTTTAAATAAATTTTTTATGGAGGTTTTACCTTTTTATTTTTAACAAAAGGAAACCCCGTTTGAAATTCAAGTGACCTTGTTTTTTCTTTTCCCACTCCCCCCACACCCAAAAAAATTAATTGGGGGGGGGTTTAGCCAGGCATTTGGGGGGATCCCCAAATTTCCCCTTTTTGGGAAAAATTAAAAACCCGGATGGTTGGGATTTCCGAAAAACAAGGTAACAAAAAACAAAGGGTGGGTTGCCAAAAATTTGGGGAGGGGAAGGGAAGAGAGGTAGGAGCGACGCGAGGAGAGAGAGAGAGATGGAGAGAGAGAGAGAGAGTGTGAGAGAAACATAGGTTGGATATAGATAGAGACTGAAACATAGGTTGGATATAGAAAGAGACTGAAACGTACAATACCAGTCAAAAGTTTGGACACACCTACTCATTCAAGGGTTTTTCTTTAGTTTTACTATTTTCTACATTGTAGAATAATAGTGAAGACATCAAAACTATGAAATAACACACATGGAAACATGTAGTAACCAACAAAGTGTTAAACAAATCAAAATATATTTTATAT